AAGAAAGAAATAAATATCAACAGAGATACAGAGAAGTTCAGTATTCATCTCTTTCACAATGTTGTTATATGTTACTAAAGTTCTAGCTTACACAAGAGCTATTCCTGTGTCTTCTAATCTGATTCTCTCTTGAGTTTGATAACATGTTTTATTCTTAGACATTTTGATGAGAATTTGACCGGGCGTTTGACTCACAAAGAATTCCGATCCTGCCTAAGAGGACTCAATTACTACTTGCCCATGGTAGAAGAAGACGAACCTGAGCCCAGGTTTCAGAAGTTCTTGGATGCTGTGGATCCAGGGAGGTAAGAAGAAGACCAAAGGCCAGATCAAGAGAGGATTGGGGTCGAAAAGGAGAGGTTTAAAGAATAAAATGGTCCATAAATAATGAAACTCACTGATTTGAAAAATAGGGCAATACCAGTAATCATAAGTAAATTGGGCAGCCCTTGGTATCTTTTCAAAATTATCTCAGAAATAAATGGCACTAGTTCTAACATGGGACAGAGATCTGCAAGTTTCTCAATTCACGATTAATCTTTGATCTATGAATTTTCACTGGATTTGAGGATAAGACGTGAGAGAAGAAATCATTTCATAGATGTGGAACTTTAAGGAGACATGGATAACCAAAAAGTCAATATGTTCAGAACAGAGTTGTTTGTGTTTTGGGGGTGTGAAAGAATTACAGATAGATCAGGTTGTTCCTCAGGGAATTTTTCTAATACCAAAGACACAAGAAGACCTAGAATTATTTAGGGACTTGTGCTGATGGGAAGATGGGAAACTCCAAAACTCTTTGAAGAGAACCAAACAGGAAGTTGAGTCTGAAGTTTGGGAAACAGTGTTTATTTGGCTCCATGAGAGAGAGACAGGAAAAGTCAGAAAGCAGAGTGTAACCCACAGTTCCAAAGAGCATATTTGAAAGAAAACACAGAGAATCCATCTCCCCTTGGCCACTAAGACACTGTATAGGATAGGGACAGGACTTCTTCCTGTCTTGCTAAAGCACAACTCCCATATTTCTCACACAGGAAGGGCTATGTTTCACTGGAAGACTACACATCATTCCTGATTGACAAGGAGTCAGAAAATATCAAGACCAGCGATGACATAGAGAGTGCTTTCCATGCCCTGGCAGAGGGAAAGTCTTATATTACCAAAGATGATCTGAAACAGGTCAGATTCCATTTGCTATGCTCTCATAATCTTGATTTGAGTCAGCTCATTCTTGCTGGTCTACTCTGAAAACTCTCACCCATCTATTTTTTTTTTCTTCCTAAGACCTTGCCTTCACAAGATGTCATTTTCTTTGATTAATCTGTTTTGTCTTGATCTAGCTCAGAAACTTATAGTGACTTTTACTGATGGTCAGAGTTGATCCAAAACATGTGACTTAGTGTTTTAGGTTATTTTTATCCCTTCTGCTTAATAATAAAAATTTAAGGAATTGGAAATAGAGGATAGTCAAAGTGAATTAGACCTTTACTTCAAGAAAGAAGTAAGCTAGACGTTTGAGTTGGTCTTATTGATTAGAAACCATTCATTTTAGAGAAAAGAGTGTGATGGGAATGGGGTTTGCCTGTCCTTCCAGAAGCTGGCTACATCTTCTGTATTTACAGCATAACAGAATTCCCAAGGAACTTTCAATCTCTAGAAGTATTTTCAATCTCTATAACTTTCTCTTATTATGCTTTTCAGGCCCTAACCCCAGAACAAGTGTCCTTCTGTACCATACATATGCAGCAGTATGAGGACCCACGAGGTCGAACCCAACCTGCTGGCTATGATTATGTTGGCTTCACCAATTCCTACTTTGGTAAATGATAAACGGATCTCCTGGACCATAGAAAATTCACTAGGTGAGAAGTAGTGTGGGATGAAAGAAACAGGCAAGTGTGGGGGTATAAAGATTGTTGTTTGTGTGTTTGTGTGTTTTACAATTGTTTGATGATCTATAAAAAAAAAATCAAAGTTGGCATGTATAAGTATTAACCAAGTTAAAGGCAGTGGGGTTATTAAGTATGCAATTAGTCACCATTGAGTAATTCCAGTGTTTTTACTTTTTAATTGTTTTGTTGAGTTCTGCTTACCTTTACCATTTTGTGTGTGTTGTGATTATAGAAGAAAGTGTTTATTTTTAAAAGAACAAAATTAAATAAAGTATTTCTCACCTGCTTGTCTGTATTTCTGTGAACCATACTATTATCTAAATGTGAATAGCTAATTGTACTGTAAAAAACAGCCATTGTAGAAGAGGTAATAAAATCCAAAGTGCTTCACAATTTCCTTTTCACTTTAAAATATTTTTAAATTATTTCATGTGAAAATTAAGATATTTAATATCTGGGGAGGGTGCAATATTTTTTTATTTATCTATTTTTATTTTAAAGAGAAAAACAGTGAAAATAGTGATACAGGATTTCAAAAAATATAATAGGAAATTAACAATGGTTATTGTATACTGTTACCTTCAAAGTAGTTACTCAGATTAAAAGACATAGGCATGCAAAATTGGTCAAACATTATAAGTACAATCTATTCCTTTCAATGAAATTACAGAGATTACTAGTATATTATCGTAATTATCTTGTGTGTATATATATATATTTTTCTTTTCTCTTCCTTTTTTTCTCCTTTACCCCATCGCAGTTATTCTTTGCTTTTGAGCAGTTTCTTTCCCTTTCACAATATGTAATGTACTTTTTGGATTTGATTTTTTCTTTCAGTTTCTTACGCTAGGGTGGCAGCAAGATATTTACACATGAGTCTGATTTCACTTAAGAGTGTCGCCTCTAGTGGCATCCACTAACCTATAAAAGGCTTGAGTTTATCCTTCTTCAACTCCATTGTATTAAAAAATCCATCTTTTCTGTCCATCTCTTGGTTGTTGGGCATTTGGGTTGTTTCTAAGACTTAACTATTACAAATTGTGTTGCCATAAATATGAGTGCACATATATCACAGCAGTATAATGTTTTTAATTCTTCTGGAAAAATACTCAAAAGGGGAATACCTTGGTTGAATGAGACTTCTAATTGTAGTTTTTTGAGGAATGCCTACACTGATTTGCACAGTGGTTGTACCAGTCTGCACTCTCTTCAACAGTGCAGAAGTGGTCTTTTTTCCCACATCCCTGCCATCATTTGTTATTGGTTAATTTCTTGGTGATAGCCATTCTTTCTGGGGGAGATGGAATCTCAGTGTTGTTTTAATTTGCATTTCTTGAATGACCAATGATGTTGAACAGTTTTTCATATATTTATTTGGTATTTGTATTTCTTAATCTGAGAGGTGTGCATTCATTTTAGATGCCCGTTTTTTTATTGGGGCTTTGAATTTGAGGTTGCTGATTTTTTTCAGTTCCTTATATTTTCTAGATAGAAATCCTTTGGCTGAGGAGCAGTTGGCTAAAATTTTTTCCCACTGTGAGTTTTCTTTTCACTCTGTTGATGATTGTTTGATGTATGAAAACTTTTTTTAATAAGAGGAGATCACAGTTGGTGATTCTTTGAAGTACTTCTTGTACAGTTTAGTTTTTGTTCATGAGCTCTCTGCCTACCCCTACATCTTCAAGATTTCTATCTACTTTCTCTTCCAGTGGATTTAGTGTTTCTGTTTTAATATTTAGATCTTTGATTCATTTTGCCTTTAGTTTAGTGCATGGTAATAGACATGGGTAGAGTTTTAGTCTTCAGCATACAGAAAACCAGTTTTCCAACACCATTTATTAAAGAGTATCTTTTTTCCAGTGAACATGTTTGGCCCCTTTGTCAAAGATAAGGTGGTTGAGTGTGTTTGTAGTTGTGTCTGCATCTTATAATCTGTTCCACTGACGCTAAGGTCTGATTTTTTTTGCCAGTACCATGCTGATTTCATCACAGTAGCTTGTAGTATAATTTCAAGTCAGGGATTTTGGTGCCTCTTGCTCTTCCTTTGTTACAGGGTGCAATATTGTAGTCTCTGAAATTAAGCTACACAAAGATAAGAAGAGTACCTATTTTATTTTTAACTTGCCCTTTTATTTTTGAGACAAATTTTCATTGCTTAAGACTGGACTGGAACACTTACGAGGCCCAAACTGGCCTCAAACTCACAATCCTCTTTCCTTGGCCTCCTCAATACTGTGATTATAGGTGTGCACTACCACATCTTGTTCAATTTGTCCCTTTTTCATATTTAAACACTATATTAAATGTTATTTTTTTTCAGAACAACAAAATTCCAACATAGCAGGGATCCCTATCATCTTTCAATCCGCTGAATTTTCCCTTAAGTTTAATGTGCTGAAAAGAAAATCTGGGATCATTTGCAGGGTGAATGATACATAGAAGGAGCACTGAGGTAGCAGGATGGTGAGTGGTGGAGAGTGAGCCTTTTTGGAGATTTCCCTCTGGATGCTAGGGTATAGCACATTTGGGTCAGCAGGAAGGGTCTGAAGCATGAATTGAAGACCATTGAGAAGTGAAGAGAGAAACTTCAAGAAAAAGGAAGGAGGTGGCCAGCAGCATCTTCTTGAGACAGGACGCACTGCTTGAGAGGAGCAGTTCAAACCTGCAGATGCCCAGTAGCTGCTGTTGACCCCAGGGGCCACTACAGGGAGACACAGTAGTGGAGGAAGTGGCAGACTTGGGGAACTGCACTGACTGGTTGTAAGTACTGGGGCTTGGTTATCCAACACAGGAGACCTATTGGCCAGGGGCCATCTTGGAGTGGGACTGGCTGCATTCAGAACTCTGAGCTGCTTCTGGCTCCATCTAGTGGCTCCCAGTTAGGCTCAGGCCTGTGGCAAGCGTGTTGACAGCTGCAGGCAGAGTGTATATGGTCTTGGCCAGAGGTACACCCAGACTGGATTATCCACTGCCCCACCAGGAAGCTGCTGCTGGTTTTCTAGGATGGATTGGTGCAGATCAGGACTCTGTCTTCATATGTCTACTGGTGACACTCGAGACATGTTGGAAGTGTACTTTTTCTTTATTTTTCTCCCTCTTGTTTGTTTTTTGATGGTGGTCGGTTTTGTGTTTTGTTTTTGTTTTTTGGGGGGTGGGGTTCAGTTTTTTTCTGGTACTGGGAACTGAACTCACAACCTTGCACTTGCCAGGCAGGTACTGTGCCGCTGAGCTAAATCCCCAGCCCATGGTTTAGTTTTTCTACTTTCTATTTATATTTTTTTCTCCTTCATTGTTTGATCTTGTTTTTATGTTAATATGAACATGGTTTCTAACATCTTCGTGGTTGTGGTTCTGTTCTATTCTTATTTTTGTCTCTTCCTTCTCTCTTTCCCTCCAGTCTTCTGCAACAGTTTCCCAAGGTTGGTGTGACCCCTATTTATACTCCAGTCTTACTTCTAATCTCTTCCTTTTCTTTCATTTCTTTCTTTTATCCCCAACTCATTTTAAGTTTTAAGTGCATAAGGGCTTCTATACTGCATATAATTTTCTGGTTTATTGGTTTTTTTTTTTTTTGGTTTTTCTCCGGTACCGGGAATTTTTCTGGTTTATTTTAGATTTTCCTATATAACCACAAATCTAGTTCTTAGGGTTAAAGGCAGGAGATTAGTCACTCAATTTGTTCTTTCCTAGGCTATATTTAATGCTGTTGTCACTGCCGATGGTGCAATTACAACCACAAGTGACATAGTTGTCCTAAACTGCTGTTTATCCTGGTATTCCAAAACTGAGATTAACTAAGGGTTACAGAAAATACTGTAGTGCAGTGCCAAAGGGCCAGGGGCAGAGCCAAACAGACAATGACTTCTCATCTACAACAAATTGAAGAGGTAGGATCTTGCAATAGATTCAAAACTGAAAAACCAGCTCCACCTGGAAGAGACCTTGGAGAAAGAATCATTTACTAGTGGTTCTAAATATTAGCAATAAAGCAACCCACCATAGGCAATTTATATGCACCAGCCCTTTTTTCTTTCAAAAAAAAAGAAAAGAAAATGAGAAAACACTTAAACCAGATACAACCCCAGATATCCACTTCAGCAGAGGCAAATGCAGAAGGCAACAAGGGGTGACAATCCAAAAGTTACACTCTGACCTCTCTGAAGTGGTAAAAACAAAGCATTTGAATGAGGCTGTAGAAAAAGTCAAATCAGAAATAATTTGTCAGATAATTGCAGAGATGGTGTCCTGTACTTAGAGAAACCTGTACTTAGAGAGTCTAATGCAGATACAGACAAAATAATAGAGGAATTTAAACATTTTATGGAAAACTTGAATGCTCAGCACAGAAAAGAAATGGAATCCATAAGGCAGGTTCAAGCATATATCTAGGAAAGTAAAATTCCATTGATCATATCTGCAGATTAAACCAATGTGAAGACAGACTCTTAGATATAGAAAGCAAGCTTGTGTTTAGGAAACATAAAAAAAAAAAAAAAGATTTCTTTAAAATAGCAAGGGACCATAAGAAAAAAAAAAAAAAAAGATTTCTTTAAAATAGCAAGGGACCATAAGAAATCAAAACAGAGTGGCTAAACGAGGCAAAGGAGAATAATTTAAGATTAATTGGAGTGAATGAAAAAGCAAGAGATAGAAAAATGATGAAAAAAATTAAACTGCTCACAGATATGGCAGAAAACTTACCTGTTAAAGAAAAAGAATTTGACATACATTAAGTGAGGAACATAGAAGTCTAATTAGCCACAATCAAAAAAAATCTGAAGCTGGGCTGTGGATTTAGCTCAGCAGCAAAAAGCGCCTGCCTGGCAAGTGCAAGGTCGTGAGTTCGGCTCCCAGTACTGGAGAAAAACAAAACAAAACAAAACAAAACAAAACAAAATCTGAAGCTAGGCAAATCCATGAAGATTCCAGAAATTCAAAACAAGAATAAAATCTTAAAAGCTGCTATGGAAAAGAAACAAATTAACTACAAAGGAAAATCCATCAG